CATAAGTCAATGGGATCGTTTGTTCCATCAAAGAGCCGCACTATCTAGGCCTGCTGAAGAGCAGCTGCAGGTCTTGGCTCTCTGCAGGACATAAGTGACTCTATCAGTCCATGGAAGCAGCCGCGATGGCCATCCACCCAACCTTCATTTTATAGATGAGAAAATGCAGGAATCCCAAGGCGTTGCAGCTTATCCACTCTTTGCATAAGGTCTGAACCCCTCAGCTTGGCTCACAAGGTCATTTAAGACCTGGCCCCTGTTTCATCACTGCCCAAATTTCTCAAACCTTTATGTGATGTCAAGACATTGTTCTGCCGGAGAACCACTTATTATGCCACCCGCCTACACACCCATGATGCTTGCTCGGAAGATGCTTAACTGCTCATCCTTCAGATTCTCGGCTTCAGTGTCATTTCATCCAGGGAGCCTCCTTTGTCTCCCATCTCTTTGTCCCAGCAGTCAGTGTTAGGTGTTTCTGCCCTCTATTCCCTTCACACCCTGTCCTTAATCATTCCTCTTATCTCACCTCATTCCAAATTTATTTAATTGTCTGTCTCTTGCTTTAGGCTGTCATGGGAAGGGCCCATGTTTGTGTTGCTTCCATCGTCTTTTCAGAACATAGCTGAGGGCCTAGAATACAATAGATGTTTAAAAAAGACTGGATGGATGGATGGATGGATAGATGGATGGATGGATGGATGGACAGACATTGAATCACTAGATTAAAAGATAACTATCCTAAAATGTGAACCTGAGGATGATACTCCCAGGGGCTGGTGCTGATGACTGCTGAACTGTACAAAACTCCAGATTCAGCTTAGATTACTTAAGGACCTGTTCTCTATCCTCTGTACTCCCTGGTTTCGCCTACTACAAGATCCCATCTTATCCATACAACCTAACGAGGCAGGAATTTTTATCCACCCTCTGCAGGTATGGAAGCCAGTGCCCAGAGCAGGAAAGTGTGGACAGCAGCCTGGGGCTTGTCCATCATGACTGTGGAGTTGCCACTTTCGGCTTCACTGCCAACTGTACCCCAGAGCTCCCCAGGCTGCGGTCATCAGCCCAGCCTGGGCTTGCTCTCCTCACTGGTGAAATTACATTTATGGTGAAGTGCTACCCTACACAGTGTCATTTGGCTTCACTTGCTGCTCTTGCTGGCCAGTGTTATTTCTGGCTGATTTATATTTTCCCTTATGTAAGTAAAGGGGGCAGGATCGCTCCAATAAAATTTTATGTGTGTTTCCTGCAAATGGGTAGCACAGTTGACATATCAAAGGACTTGAGAACTAAGATAGTCATTTTGTTCACAGAGCTCTCAGCACCCTCCTGCCCCCACCCTTCACCACCCCTCTCCTGACACAAATACTCTGACATGGGGAGAACTCTTTCTAGCCACCTTCGTGTTAAAAATGCCTCAGCCCATCTAACACCAAGTAGCGAACAGTTGATGGCAATTACAGGAATATTAGCAACACTAAGTTCTCTCTAAATAGAATATTTTCCTGACAGAAGCTGAGACATTTGAAATCTGGCTTGGCATTCTATCCATAATTACCCTCACTGCACCCTTCCCCTAAATAATTCCCAGAGTGATATGAGCGAGGGTGAAATTGCAGCTGAGCTTAGGATTTGCTTTTGTAAAAAAAAAATTTAAATATATAACTGGTGTCATAGCCACACCATTTTCTCCCTTCATGCACATGTAGTCGGATTGTTAGACTCATGCTTAATAGCTGTTCTGAGGAGAAAATGGGACTCGGCAAACCATCCGTGGTTTCTGCTTCATACCATAGGACAAGGGACTAGTGACACCCTGTCTTTGTGAAAATTCTGAGGTATACTGTCGTCTCATCACCTTGGTCCCCAAAGAGGGGATGTCTTTAAGCTCGCCCTCTTTCGTGTCCTCTGCTGCAGAGAAGCCCCTAAATTCATTGTTCCTAGATGTTGCTTGTATGGTCCATGAGTGTTTAGGTGAATAATACAGTAATGCCTTGGTTGCGAGCATAATTCGTTCCAGAAATAAACTACTCGTATTGCAAGACATCGCTCATTTACCACGTTAAAATGTATTAGAAATGTTTGCTCGTCTTGCGAAACACTCACAAACCACGTTACTCTCAATCCAAGGTTTTACTGTATTTAAAAATCCATAGTTACAAAGGAATCCAATTAGAAGACATTTATTGTCTTTATGAAAGAATCTGCTATTATAATCCTTTAAATGATAGGCTTGAAACTATGATTTGTATTTCTGGTACTCCTAAAATATGGCTTGATATGCAGACGTTTTATTTATGTATAACTTTTCAGGAACATGCCCATTACGTAAAGCGAGGGGAGCTCCGTTTTGACATGTAGATTTATTTCTGCCTCCTTATGGAATGTGTTCCATTTTATATTCTGAAAAACTATAGTGCTTTGAACCTACCTCTTTCCGTGTTCTCTGTAGCCATTTAAAAAAGTGAATGTTGTGCATATTTTTGAAATGGGAAGAATTATCTTGTTGAGTTCCCACTGTATTAAATAGCATGCAGAAATCAGGGAGAGGCTGACTTCAATGCCTCTCACCTGGCTTTTCTCGAAGCCGGCTGGGGTTTTCTCTGGAAATGTGGGCCCTCCTGAACTTAGAGAGCTTGACAGGATCAAAGGGCTTACAGCTGCAGGACCTGGGGAGGTGAGGTCCTGAAGCCGACCCCTCTGTTTCCTAGGAGAGCCTCTCTCGTCCCAGCTCTGACCTCAACCAAGATCACCCTGACTCTGACGGAGATGGTGACCCTGGCAACCTCCTCGGAGATTATCAATGGCAGGGCTTCCCAAATTTACGCTTGTTTAACTGAGGGTTTGTTAAAACAGTTTCCCGGACTCCATCCCCAGGGATTCTAATTCAGTAGGTCAGGGTGGGCCCCGTGGACTTGCATTTCTAACCAGCTCACAGGTGATGCCCATGCTGTTGGTGTGGGCACCACACTTTGAGAACCACGGCTCTAAGAGATGGAGGCCAGGCTGCAGGGGGTGGTGCAAAGGTTGCCTGGGCTCTGCCGAGCACAGGTGGGTCTTGACTACACTTGGTGTCGGGGGGAAGATTACAGAGAAAGGGGTACATTTACCCAGTTAGATTCTACCCCATTCAGCTTTATTTGGCACACAGTGGAACTGCAGTTTTAACTTTCCACATTTACCACTGTTTTATATGATTTGGGTTTAGAAGGAAAACGCTCTTGGGCCAATTTTCTAGGAACCAGGGAGGTTATGTTACTCCTGGATTACACCAAATAGCGTTCACTGCTTTATTGAACTATAATTTACATACTGTAAAATTCACCCATTGTCAGAGAACAGAACAAGGATTTCTGGTAAATTTATATTGTGCAACCATCACCACAGTCCAGTGTTAAAACACTTCCATCATCCCAGAAAGTTCCCTCAACATCTGGTGATTTTGATTGTTTATGAGGTATGTTAAACTACATATTCGAGTACCTTTCCAATGAATAATAATACTTTTTTAAACCCGCTCTATGGTCCCATGTGTTAGAGCCAATAAGTAGGTCACAGGCCACCTGTTCCATTTGTCATTCGCTAGTCTTCATAGAGTAGTTTGTATGCCGCTTCCTAAAATGAAATCACTCAGCTAGTGAGTATTATAGCATCTACTGTGCTACACATTGCCTTGTCGTCTCTCAAAATAATGCTTCATAAATGTACTTCTCATGGTTGAAAAGAATTCTTCCATCGTTTATCTAAATTCAAACATCCCTTGTGCCCCAGGCAGTGCAGTAAAGGACGTAAACATGAATGAGCCCTGCCTTCAAGGGACTCACCACTCTAGGAGATGAGACCAAAATGCAAACTAATCAATACAATATGATTCTGTAATTAAGTCCCTTGTTATGAATCTTATAATGGCAGCATAAGCGACCAGCATTAAATCCTATCAGTTTTGTGACCTATACTGAGTGGCTTTCTTGCCCCAGAAATTTGTTTCACTGCCCCAGCTGAACTCAGCCGTGCAAACATGATGTCTCCTGAGGGCCTTACCAGAAACAAAACCTGTTCTGTAGAAAGCACTGTGACCAGAGCATCCCAGTAAAAGGATACAGTTTGAACCATGATGGATCCAACCGTGATGCATCGTCTGATGGCCTACACTTCATAGTGAGCATCAACAATGGACTTAACCCACAAAAACATACCTGCACTACCTGAGGAATTTTGGAGCACATTGAAGAAATGATATCTTGTCTTACTGAGAAGTCAGGACTTAAGCACAAAGAATTAAAGCAGACGTGCAAAGAAGCACATGGTAACATTCCAGGATGCTGAATGCCTCTTAATCATTGCAGGCAGGCAGAGCATAGGGGGCATTACAGAGTGTTGGGATATACAAGCTAAATGCCATTGGGAGGGTATGGCATCAAGGTGTGAGGGGCTTGCTTTCTCCTCATATATTTGGACTGCCATTTATTTGTCTGTGTTAACTAAGCTTCCCGATCTAAATTAGCCATATAGAAAATAAATGAATTAGTTTGCATTGCAAGTAGAGAAGACCTGCCGTTTGCTGGTTTTACTGCTACAGTTAATAGGGTTCACTTTTTTCAGCTTTTCCCATTTGTGACAGAAAAACAAGGCACTTGATGTCCTCGGAACGTTATTGATCATCTTTGGCGTGACCATAACATGATGTTACTTGAGAAGAGAAATGGGCATAAAGCTAAAAGCAAAACTGCTTTCACCTCAGCAGTTTCTCATTCACTGTTCAAAAGCCAGTCTTTCCCCTAGTTTTCCATACTTTTGAGTTGGGCGTGATTATACATTATCGACTCTCCTCTAAAGCATCGTCTTGCTAGGAGGAACCTAGAGAAGAAAGGTCTTGTCACACCAGCCTCTCCCCTTTCTTGGGTGGCCACCGTGGTGAAGAACCAGTCTGTTCCCAGCAACCGGTGGGGCAGTGGGACTGCTTTTCCTTAGATCTAACAACCTCTGGTTTTGAACATTAGGCTGGTCTAAGAGCAATGTCAGGCCTTCTACTCCATGGCCAGCACCAAAGACGAGCAGTCCAAATGACAGCAGCCCTACAGCAAAAGGTAATACAGTGTCTCATCTCCCTGAAATGACAGTCACCTTCCTTTCTTCTAACCTAATACAATTTTCTGCCTTTCTTTACTAATTTCCATTTGAGTACCTGATACCAGGGTGCAGAGTTTTACATGATCCTTGGAACTACATTCTGAGGTTTTTTTTTCTGGCTTCATGTCCTAATTCATAATTCCCTTTATCCAATCTAATGAGGAGGGTTCAAATATCTGTCTCCATGTGACTGGGTGCTCCCTAAGACTCTGTGGGAACAGCCAGGTAGGAAAGGCCATTGAGGTTTGCTATCTTCAGCTGAAAATACCACTGCCCCCACCAACTGAGATAGTTAATTAGTGCTCCTCAGGAAGAGCCAGATTCCTTAGTTGTCAAAAAAGGGCCTTTCAAGCGCCTGAGATCTGTTCTGAGACAAGCCCATGAGGAGAACATCTGCTCAGCTGAAAGTCTTGTCTGTATTTGCAGCTCTCTTGCTCTTCCTTTGGTCATCACCCACTTTCCCTGGGTTGACCACAGGAAATGAAAGGAAACGTCTATCCTATTATCAGCAAAAAGTATCCCCATTTTGTTCTTTTGCTGTTCTGCAAATGGTTACACCTGGCCTTCCCTCCAACTGTGGAGGCCTGGGGAATGTGAGGATTACCGCAGAGTACAGGCACCTGGCTCCTCCTGGCAGGGCCTCCCCCACTCAGAGGGCCTTCTAAGACCTTTGCAGAGGTTAGGAGGAAGTGCGTGTGTAGTCTGTTTTCCCTGGACAGATCTTGATACTCTGTCAAGAACAGACTACTCCTCCTAAATCAGCCTTGCCCAGTACAGTTTCCTTGTGTGACCTCCTACATGACTAAAGAAAGCCACTCCCTTTTTTTTTAGTTGCCCCACCTCCACCCCCAACCAAACTGCTTTGAGATCTCACAAGTCTCGGTTTATTATATCAAAACGAACCAAGTGTGTTGAGGGCTAACTGCACATGGAATTCAATTAATGTTGCCCAAGTATAACTTGTGTATTATCAATTAGGCTTGCTTACAGTCATATTATCTCTATAATAGATGCACTGATTATCTCATTATAAAGTAATATATTTACGACAGATTTTTTTAAAAAAAAAGACGGGAATCAGAAGTATAACATGACCAGTATCTGTCTTAACGTTTAGGTGCCATTTTAATGAAACAATCAAAGGCCCTGCTTATGTTGGTAGAATCCCATCAATACTTTCCCATCACTCTAATGTAACCACTTTTAGCAACTTGTCCTACCAATGGTTTTGGAGACTCGTTTTAGCCAGATGGCAAGCACATTCCTCGCTGCTCTTAGCTAGAAGGATAACCTGTCAAAGAGACATTTTCTTCATGCTCTTGATATTCCCACCTGTTGGAGAAGGAAAAAAAAAAGCGTGGGTCATCCAAGCCAATGAACTTCAGATTTTCATGTGGAATGATTTATATAAAGAAGAGCCCCCAACTTATTTAGCAATCACTTGCATCAGGCACTCTTTTGAAAATGTTCTCCTCATCTGGAAAATAATTTGGCTCTATAATTGTGATATTCAGGAAGTTAGGGCAGGTGGTTCTATAAAAGAGCAGCTGAAGGCAGTACTCCAGGGAGGCTGAAGGGGTGTGGGGACAGGGTAGAGCCCAGTGGGAGAAGGGGAGGTATGTCCAAGGCCTCCTTCCCCTGCCTGATGGGAGAAGGTTGGAGAAGGCAGTGACCCTGAGAGGACAGGAGCAGCTGGGCCTAGGCACCGACCCCCTTCTGGGCCTGTAGCTTTGAAGCCTAAACAGAGTGGTCACGGTATTTCTCTTAACCCAGCAGATTTGAAAAGAATACTCCAGTGGGCACTGGAAGACACCTTGCTGCCTCAGCCATGCGGCCTGATTTCTGAAATAACTATGGTCTCTCCTGCTTGTGGTGAAGCATCAGGGGCTGAGGTGAAAGGCAGCTCTGCAGACTATGGCCTCCTGCTGAGGTGGGGGCAAATGCACAGCTCCCCTGAGCTGTAGGCCTTGGTTTAGAAATGTTCCTCAGCCACCCAACAGGAGCACAAGGAATTCCCTAACTAGTTTTGGAGATAGAGTAATGGGATTTGTCTGAGCATCCTCCCTTTTCAAGACAAGCCTGGACCGCCTTGCAGGCAGCATGGCGGAGGTGGGCGTTGGAAGGTGTGTGTGCTGATGTGTCCTCTTCTCTCCGTAGAGCCTACTAAGGCCACCTCGGACCTGACTGCCTGGTTCAGCCTCTTCGCTGACCTCGACCCATTATCAAATCCTGATGCTGTTGGGAAAACCGATAAAGAACATGAATTGCTCAATGCATGAGTCCGCAGCCTTGGGAGGCCCACCTGCCACCCTCAGCAACACACCTGGGGGCTGGCAGATGTATGACGTGATCGGTATGCTGTTTTAATATCTATGTGCCATTTTAATAAAACAAAAGGGTCAGAGGCCCTGTTTATATTGGTATAATTATTTACTCTTATTTGGTATAAAGGGTTTTATTGTATTCTCTATGTGAACCTGACAATAAAGGATTGTCTAACAGCAGTGTCCAGGCTGGCCACTCTCCTGCCAATATCCGCATCATGGCTGCTGTGAGATCCAAGTTCACATGATAAGCCTACCATGTGTTAGGTTTCAGGAACATGTCCTACAACCTCAGAGGCAGTGGGAGGCTGGCAAAGCTGAAATGCCTCCTCTGGTACCCCCAGCCTCTTCCCTTAGAGGGGGCTGCAGGGTGACTCCTTCTTCTGGCCGAGCCACCTTCCAGTGGGCTCTGGACAAAGCGCTGACCAGCCGGAGACACCATCCCCCAGGCCTTGCCCAATGGCCGCGTGTTCCCTCATGGCCAGAGGAGCTGGGCTGGTCTCCGCAGCATGACCCTTTCTATGGAAAGTAGCCATATCTTCAGATACTGGGTCTCCTTTTGTCCTCTCTGTGGCTGGAATTCAAAAGCATGTATTTCTGGAGCCCCTTGTGATATTAACTTTTTTTTATTATTATTAAACAGAAAAGATATTTGACATGCAAAGTCAAGTTAATGAGTCTGTTGTGGGGACTCAGTGGGGAGGCGCTGTGGGGGTGGAGAGGGACAGAGGGGGAGGATGAGTCCCACCTGTGTGAAGCTGCTGAAATGACCTCCTACACCCTGCAGAGGGGCGGAGGATTTGGACTTCTGTTGGCTCCGGCAGGGATGGGAGCAACAGGTTTGCAGGTGAGAACATAAGCGGCTCAGACACCCCACAGTGTTAGAGACCACAGAGCTGGCACCTCTGCCCTCCCTTGTCACCAGTGACATGCTAAGTGACAGGCCGTAGAAGCCCTTGTACTGCCCTTTCAATGAGCCAGTGGCCCTGAGTCGGGCTGGAATCGATGATTAGCCCGGAAATGGTTCTATGTACTCAGCTGGGCCAGGGAGGCCTCTGCTGTGCTCTGTGGTCTGCGTCCCTAGCTGTGAAAGGGTCTCCTGAGGCTCCCCCAACAAACCCACAGGGATGCTGGACTTCCCCAGCTGCCTGTGTTGCACCCTCATGGAGGGGTCCGGCCCCGCAGTGACCACTGTCCTCTACGAGACAGCCTGGGGGGCCGGAGAAGGACTGTGGAAAGCATTCTCATCCACGTGGGAAGAGGCCCGTGGGTGAAACGGGGCTGGGGACTCAGTGTGCTATGTGTCTTGTGCAGCTCTGCTCATTTCCCCACCGGCAGAGACCGGCCATGGCGTCTCCTTTGTTAGAAACTCATTGAGTAGTGCCTCAGCCTGGCATTCACACCGGTCTTTGGGGAGATCAAGATATAGCCCCAGGGCACCCTGGCTATCCTCCCTCACATACACAGGAGGGCTTGCTGTGCCCTTAAAACCCTGCTCTGGTCTCTGGGCCTGTGCATTTGCTGCTCACTCC